TGGGAGGGGGGTTGGGGGGGTGGGATTATGGACATTGGGGAGGGTATGTGCTATGGTGAGTGCTGTGAAGTGTGTAAACCTGGCGATTCACAGACCTGTACCCCTGGGGATAAAAAGATATTATATGTTTATGAAAAATAAAATTTAAAAAAATAAATAAATAAATAAAACCACCACAGGTGATGGATAATTCTGGGGCTGAGAACCACGGTCTATAGACCAAAGTGTAGTCCAGGGAGCACTGGCCTCAAAAATCACCCCAAAAGCTTGCTAACTCCAAAAGTCTGCAAGGCAGACTTCTGGACCTCCCTGGAAGCTGACTGCAAAGCAGTGGGGTGAACCTGGGCATCCGAAGCTGTGACAGTTACCTGGTGGCTATGGAACAATGGCATTGGCACAGAATGAGCCCCAGAAATGGCACCAGTGCTCCAGGTGGCCCTGGAGGCCAGGATGACCCAAGCAGCTGGTCCAAGAGAGGCTCCCAGATGATTCAGACTCCCATGCCCACCCTCACCCAAGGGCCACTGCATAAGCACCTCCGCGTGGCGGGCAACCAAGGCAACACTTCCAGGAAGGAGGCGGAGCTACTGGGGGCTTCCCCTCTCATTCAGGTTCCCCATCAGGACTTACAAGCCCGTAGGAACACTCAGGCCTCCTCTCCGGTACTTCCTCCATCTCACTCCAGCCCCAGCCACACTGACCTCCTTGCTATTCCCAAAACTCCTCAAGCTTTCTCCGGATTCAAGGACTTTGTCTCCTGGCTTTTATCTCCACCCCAATGGCTCCTCCCTCAGGTATCTGCAGGGCTCCCTCCTGCAGATCTCTGTGTAAATGTCTTTTTATCAGTGATACTTCCCTGATTTCCATATTTAAAAGAGAAAATCTGCCTCCCCACCAAACCTCCCTAACCTCCATCCCTGCTTTATTTTTCTCCATCATACTTTATATTTTGCTTGTTATCTATAAGCCTACACACACTAGAATGAGTTCCCTGAAGGTAAGATTTTTATTTATTTCCTGTTATAATCCCAGTGCCCAAAACAGTGCCTAGCACACAGCAAGCACTCAAATACTTATTCTAGGACTGAATGCAACAGAAACACCAATCTCAACACATAGCTTACACCAAAAGATCACAGGGAAGAAGCTGATTATAGCCAAATCACTGCTCCACTGATCTCATCTTGGCAAAAGCCTCTTTAAAAACAGGCTAGAAGCCTAATGAAACAGAAACCATTTAGAAATAAGTATTTCCAGTCAATTAACCCAATCCAAATGGGTTTGTGAGTCAAAGACAATTTGTTTTGAGAAACAGATAAAACTAGGGAGACAAAAAATGAAGTTGAAAGAAAGCGATCGATCAAAATGGATTTCAGATAACAGTCCTGGTAAGTGTATAGGTTCAAAAGAAAACCTAAGAGCACTGACAGCTACCTTCAGACAGGGAACAATTTTCGCAGACCAGAAAGAAGAGAAAGGCTCCAATCCTGGGTTACAGTCTGCGAGCACAGGCCCCGTGCAGGATACGACTGTGCGCTTACCCCAGACCCACGAACCTGATACACCTAAGGAGGACTCTTCCTTTCCCCTTCCTCCTACTCACACCCCACCTGCCTCCAAATCTCACTGGAAGCCACAGACAATACTTGAGCTCTACCCAGTTGGGAGTGCCGGAAGCCTCTGTCAAGGCCGACGCACAGATGATGGGGAGCATCCGGCCACGACCCCGTCTCACTGATGTCCTCCGTTCCACATCCTTGTTGCCTCTCCCCTCCCCGCCTCAGTCTCTCTCCCACGGTCACCCTGCGTGTCTCCTGGAGGCCAGTCTTCCCCAAACACTGCTTTCATCAGGTCTCACTCACTTATCTCAAAACCCTGAAGTGGTTTTCTATCACCTACCCCAGCTCCTCGAGCCAAGCTTTTAAGAACCTCCATACTCTAGACCTAGGCCAAGTCCACTGCTTTTACATTTCCACGGGAGTGTCTTCACCTGCTTCCAAGACCAATCATTGCCTTCCCCTTCAACATGCCGCTAAGAGGTAAGATTGTAGCAACCAGAACACACTGGACCATGTATCCAGTCTCCATTCCTGCCAAGATCGTCCCAGCTCTCCACACCATCCACACCCATTCCTTCCGCTCCAGCTTCCAGACACTGCCCTGTCCCGCTCCAATGCCACAGCACACACACCCTGCACTTACACAGGCACGTGCATTCATTCACTCAGGGATCGTGACTGAGCACCTACTATGTGCCAGGTCCCCGCCCCCGGGGGTGCTGACGTTCCACTGGATGGAGACACACAGTCACAAACAAGCAGATTCAGGACAAGTCATAGAGCTTTCCTCGACGGGAGCTCCCCAACTGCGACCAGGAATGGGAGTGACTACTCTTTCAATTCTGAGGCAAGTGCAACAGCAAGCTGCGTGAACATGGGGAACAAAGGTTTTAGGCAGAGGGGAGAGCAAACAGGAGTGCTTGGTGCACTCAAGGAACCCAAACCAGAGCAGAGGGAGTCAGAGGAGATGGGGCGGGACGCAGGAGGGCTACCGTGAGCACTGGCATTTAGTCTTTGACAGAAGGCTTCATGAGGACCGGAACTTACACTGTCCAAGAGTCACTGCCCTCTGCTTGTGCACTTCAGCCATCTATCATGAGCTATAAAATTAGGAGGGGGAACGCCTGGGTGGCTCGGTTGGTTGGGCGGCTGCCTTCCGCTCAGGTCATGATCCCAGCGTCCTGGGATCGAGTACCGCATCGGGCTCCTTGCTCAGCAGGGAACTTGCTTCTCCCTCTGCCTCTGCCTGCCTCTCGGCCTACTTGTGATCTCTCTCTCTCTCTCTGACAAATAAATAAATAAAATCTTTAAAAAATTTTTTAAAAAAATAAAATAAAATAAAATTAGGAGGGATTTTTCTTCTTGAATGCTCCAAACTTTTCCAAAGTAAGCATATATTATTTTTTAAGTGAAGGGGGTGGGAACCGTCTTGCCAACCCTGTAAGAGTCAGCCCAAATTCCACCTCTGGGCCAGTGCTAGGACTGTGCCCATGCTGCACCCTAGGCCCCAGCCAGCAGGACCACCAGGGTGACCCCAGAGTTCGCAGGACCTGCCTGCGGCAACTAATGGGCATCAAAGTTTCTTCTGCTGCCCTCACTTCTCTCCTGCCCTGCAGGAGTGTGTCCCTTCGGATACTCTTGCCCCCAAGTGCCTGTCTGTGCCCCAGTCGTTCTCTCAGTTGACTTAATTAATTCCTAGTAATTAAAGCTACTATTTGGTGATGAACTGCTAAGAGTCTGACCTCTCCCAGGGGGTATAAATATTTTAAAAGGGGAGTCTAAGTGGGAATGCAAAAGCCTTAGATTCAGAGAATCGGAGCTAGAATGGTGGCATGACAGGCACTGGGTTCATATTTTGTGGGTCACTGGCTACCTTCTCCTAACGGGCTCAGGGGCTTGGAGAAACAGTGACACCGGGAGACAAGTGAAGAAATGAACCATGAGATTACATCACTGCCGCCACCTCCCTTCCTCCCAAAGGGCCATTCAATCCATTTTGGGTACCAGAGAATGTTCCCCAGAGGAAACCCCAGCCATCTCAGAGGGGCGACCCGTGTGAAAGTAACCACTACCCTCAGCAAGAAAAGCCCCCTTAAGATATCCCTGGTCTGCAAGCAAATTGTTCTCTAATTGCTTTCAGTGGGGGGGCTCCTTGAGGGCAGAGTTCACCTCACAGGATTCTTTTGTGCTCCACAGAGCACCCAGCTCTGGCTTGGGCCCAGGCTAGGCCTTTCACAAGCAACTGTGGATTCCTGATCAATGATGGCCCCGTTGCAAAAAGGCTCCATGGGATTTTAAATACAAGTAAACATTCTAATTAAGAATAATGGTAGAGGGGCGCCTGGGTGGTTCAGTGGGTTAAGGCCTCTGCCTTCGGCTCAGGGGTCATGATCCCAGGGTCCTGGGATCGAGCCCTGAATCGGGCTCTCTGCTCGGCGGGGAGCCTGCTTCCTCCTCTCTCTCTGCCTGCCTCTCTGCCTACTTGTGATCTCTGTCTGTCAAATAAATAAATAAAATCTTTAAAAAAAATAATAATAACAGTAGAATTAACCACACATCTAATATTTTTAAGGGCCTGAAGATTTATAGGCCTAATGACATCTCAGACAGCGAAGAAGTTTTTACAACCTCAGCCAGTCCAGCTCAGGTCTGGAGAGTCCGTCCAGCAAGGGAAGGCAGAGCACAGCCCTTGCCCATACACAGCAGAGCCTGGGCTGGGCCAAGCCCCAGAAGAATCTGAACAGCTGCTCACTGCCCACCCTGGGGCCCCCTTCTCCTCTGAAAATGCCAAAACTCTGCCTCAGATGTGTTTTCAGGCCCTAGAAGAGCCCTGGGAGGCTTGCAGTTACAATGGACACCTGTCTTCAAACCCTCTCTTGGGTCTCCCTCTGCCCTTCGGCTTGCTCAGGAACAACTTCAATGTTAGGAGCTGAATCGGCAAACAGGAGTAGGATGCTGTATCCGGCAGCAAACCAGAGCCCACTCCACCGGCTCGAGTTCAACACCAGCTTGCCCAGGGCAGTGTGGGGAAGATGTTCCTTTGCCCCAAGACTGGATGAAAATGAGAAGGAAGTAGCCACCCCCCTCCCATCTCACACCCAGAATGAGCCGAACCCCCAGAAGGAGGGAAATCCTAGGAATGCATATGAGGCTTATGCACAGGAACCCCTCTCTTTACAGTCCCATGACCCCCAGGTCGTAACACCAAGGCCTCTGGCATGCCCCACGTTGACAAGCAGGAGACTGAATCTGTGGTCCCCGGGGGGAGTGAGGGCCGGGGACCACACCCAAAGGAGTGATTTCTTTAAAAGCACTCTAAAAGAAAACACCCACCAAATGTAGCTAGAAGCCAAGTCACACCTAATCACCCCTCCCAGATGGTGCAGCCCGGGACCTCTGAATTCAGGGACTGGCCCAGTCAGAGGTCCCAGTCTAACTCACCTCACATCTAACAAAGGCATCTTCCCCTGAGTGACCAGGGCGGGTGGCCGGCTCCGACATCAGGACTCTTCCGTAGGGCCGGATTTCTGGGCAGTTTGAGTTTTTGCCTTAGGGCATTCAAGTTTATCTCCAAAATGAAAACAGACTAACTGGTTATTTGTTTTTGTAAAGATGATACACAAACCTTGAGAAAATTCAAGTGACAGGCAAACATGTAAACAAAAGCCAAAACCACCCAATCCCACCGCTCAGCGGGAAGGAGGTCTCCCAGCAAACTGTTCTGCAGACAGGATGGGGTCCATTCTGAGTTAACCCTAGAGGGTAGTAGGTCTCGATTCTCTGAATAATCCTGGAGACTTAGTTTTGCGCAAGATCCTTAATGCCACCTCTGATCTGTCCAAAGTAATTTTCTAGGGGGCTCCCCAATAATTGTGCTGCTCTCATCAACAGACAAAACAAAGTGATACAGATCCCCCTCAGCTCCCCTCCCACAAAAAACACACACACTCTGACTGGAGGCCAGGAGTTAATCTGCTCAGTGGACACACTCCTGTTTTTTCACTCAACACTGTGGCAGTCTTTCCACAATTAATCACAAGTATGGATATCCTCAGCCTTTTCATCTCCTGGAGGGTGTTAGTGACAGAAACGGGGCACCATTACCTCTTGATCCAACACCTCCAGAATCTAAAATGGAGAAGGTAAAGGACTTACCCAAAGTCACACAGTGAACAGAGGACACCCCAGAAGTGCTGAGAGGTTTGAGGAATGACTCTGTGGGTGACACTGAACTGGAAAGGTGTTCACGAACTTTTGAGTTATAAAAAGGATCAGATAGGTCATTTCAACAAATACACGCTTCCCACTTCAAATAAAAGTAAATGGTTGTCTGAAGTACCGCTCTGATCCCAAAACATTTCTCAATATTAATTAGCTAATGGATATCACAATGCTACACTCCTACAACACGGAGAGGGAGACCACTGGAGCAAACACAGCTTGTAAGTACACGCAACTGCTCTGCACTCAGAATTCTCTCCTACTCAGGTATTCCTATTTTTTATGGAAAAGAAAAAGTTAAAACAAAGTTACATATAAAGATAGAGCTGGAGATAAAGATCTAATACAAACACTAAATATTAAAACGTTAATGGTAGCTCTGGGTTAGAGGACTTATCAATAAGTTGTATTTCCTTAGTATACCTATCTGTGCTCCCTGCATTTTCTACATGAATATTCTGGTGTAATTCTTTTTAGAGTTTTAAAAGAAAAATAATTAGTCCACAATCTAGGTTGGTCTATTTGGATTTTATTTTTCACTATAGAAAAACAAAGATTCAAAACTCTAGAAGATCCACCACCCTTCCCAGCTTTGCAGAAGCAGAAAGAAGGTTAAGATGAGGCTCAAACTCCAATCCAGTTTGAGGATTCCAATCCAGTAGGAAAGCTCACCATGACCAGGCTGAGTAGAGGGGAGGAGTTACTACTTTATTTTCTGTCTCTGATGTGTAGGGAAAACGAAAATTCTAAACCAATCTCTCCTTCCAGTGCAACCAAAAGCTCCCCGCCCCCCTCCCTGGGTTCACAGACCTCTGTTCCCAGAACAATTTCCAATACATCTGTCCACAACCACCCTTTAGCTACAAGACTACCCACACCACTTAGAATCTGGATACCAATTCTGAGGAACACCCTTTTCCAGTATTTTGTTTCTAAAAAGTTATTCCTCCTCTTCCTCAAGAGTCACAAACATATGATCCAACCCACACCATACAGAATCATGCATTCTATCAATTAATAATCGTGGCTGCCCACACTGTATGGAGCTTAAGTCAAGACTGTGTTAACGAAAAGGATGAATCTTCACGGGCCTGAGAAAAACAAACAGGAATTGAGGAGCAAGCGTTTGTTAATATGTCCCAGCCCTGGCCAGAAGGGGTGGGGGATGGCCAGAGGACAGAACATCTGTCATTCTGCAGTTTCATTTCTCATGGCCAGTTAATACCCTAAGTTTATGCATCAGTATCTTCCAAGTTTGGTTAGTGAGTCAGTCTGCCTGGATCCAATAAGCTCTGAGTGCCCTACAAAACTGAATTTCAGGACTATGAAACTGAGAACCAGACCCTGAAACACAGTGATCCCGCGAAAATAAAGCCACCTCCAGAATGACATCTGTCTCCACTCCCTAACTCCAGCACCAACTATGGTGTGTATCTGATGTATCTAATACTCCTCTAATACTCTCTGTGGCCTGTAGAATAAAATCCAAACTTGACTTGCCTTTCACAGCTCCAACTCAGCTTCCCAGCCTCCTGCCCAGAACAGCCGAGCCTCTCAGGGCTCCATGCTTTCACGCATAGCTCTCTCTACCTAGACTGTCCTTTGCCCAGTTTCACTTGCCTGTAAAACTCCTATTCTTCCTCCAAAGCCCAATTCAAAAGCCACTTCTGCCCCCAAAGTCTTCCCTACTCCCCCTAAGCATTTAGTTCCTACTGCTCCCAACAGCTCTCTAACTAGAGAGCATTAGAGAACTTATTAAGTACATTGTAGCTCCTTTGTTTACATATCTAACCTCCCCTGGACACCCTGAGGTTCTGAAGGGAAGGAACTCACTTTGTATCCAAAAGTCCTACCACAGTGTCAAGAATGAAATGGGAGATCAATGTTGAATGATTGATCACATGGAACACTGGCATTATTTAGAGAAAAGGGGAGGGGAAAAAGAGTCTCCCAGAATCCAAGAACTAAATTTTAAATTTAATCTTTAAAATTAAAATTTTAAATTAAATCTATATATTTAATTTCATCCAATGTGACCACATCATAGCTAAGAGACAGCATGAGAGTTTTAAAAATGTAGTAATAGCAACTAACATGTGAGGTAAGAGCTGCGTCTACGTGGCTTGTTTAATCTGATATGCACAACAGCCCTATGAGGTAGGTACTTTTATCTGCATTTACCAATCCTATGAGATAGGTACTTTGATCTACATTTAAGCTGGGAAAAGCTTGAGGCCTTTCCAAACAGGAAACTGAGGCACATAAGAAATTAAACTCAAAGTCATTCTGTTAGCAAGTGGCAGAAGCAAGACGCAAACTCCAGTAGTTTGGTTCCAGAGCCAGTGGGCTCTGGGATCCAGGAGACCTGGGTTTGAATCCAGATTATGTTACAAATGTGGTTTTGGGTAAGTCATCTATCCCCTCAGGGCTTGTTCCCTATCCCCTCTGGGCTTGTATCTGTAAAAAGGGCAGGACAAGCCCTTTCTCTTAAGTTGCAGAGAGGATGAACTTAAATATGATGTTTGCAGAAGTCTCTCAGATTGATTCTTCCATCTAGCAGGCACTCCATAAATGCTAATTCGTCTTCCTTTGCCTTCCTAAAAGCTGCACAAAATAGACTCTGAGGAAAAGGATCTCCCCCAGACTCTCTGAGGCTTTTCAAAGCGGATCAAGTAGTTAGACCACTCAAGGAGAAAGCCTCACCTTACCTGCTTATCTCCAAGTCCATTCCCCACACAGAGGCCAGAGACCTTTTAAAACGTAAATGTCATCATGTCAATCACTTGAAACCCTTCAAAGGTTCCTAATTTCACTGGGGATACAGACCGAAGTTGAGAGAGGGGTGGGGAAGGAGCCATTCTGTCCCAAGGCCCCTGTGATCTAACTCACCTCTCTACAGACTTACCTCCCCTCTCCCTCTCCCCCCCCACCCCCCAGCCACACAGGCCTCTTTCACTTCCTCCAACTCGCCAAGCTCGTGCTGCTCCACACATGGTTAACTCTTAACCCTCCTTCGGGTCTCAGCCCAGACGTCACTTCCTCGGGGAAGCCTTCCCAAAGCCCCCAGATCAAACCAAGGCCCATCACTCTCGGCATTCTGGTCCTCTTTCCTTCCTCGAGCTCAGCCCAGTTTGAAATGATCAGTTTACCGCCTCCTTCAAAGTTTTATTCAAAAGACACCTTCCAAGAAAGCCTTCCTGGGCCACTTGAACGTAAATTCAGCCCCCACCCAGTATCTCATATCCTCCTTCCCTGTCTTCTGTTTCTCCCTAGCATTTAGCCCCTTTGAAGAGGCTGCATTTTTCACAATCTATTTTCCCAGCCTCCTGCTCCTTCCCACACACACACCAGACTGAAAGCTCAATGAGCGCAGGTATTCCTGTTTGCTTTCTTCACAGCATCTAAAACAACGCCCGGCACATATATGTTGACAAATATTCGGTGTGGAACAAAATTTCCAGATTATTTATTATTGGGCTTTCCCACTAGGCTACCAGCTCAAGCCAAAAACATGTCCTTCTGGTTTACCACCATCCTCCCAACACCTTATCCAGTGCCCAGCACATAGTAAGTGCTCAGTAAAAATTTACCGAGTGACTCAAAACCATGACCGTTGGGAAAACAGTCAAAATATGTGTGCTAGCACCACGCTTCCTCCTCTCTTTCACTGTGCAATGTACCTGTGAGTTTGAGGAAACAGACCCATGAAATCCCAGCAAGCACACACCAGGCCAGGCATCTGTGTCCACATCCTGTATGCTCAGCCACACTGTACACACCAACAGATGCACCCTAGAGGGCCTGTATGAACAGAGAGCTGAAGGCAGGTGGGCCAACCCTAAGCCAAATACCATCTTACCCCCAAGTCCCATTCTCCTACTGCCAGTCCTATTCTAGGCCAGTCCTGGGTGCCAGACATGCTTCCCTGGGTGGGCCTGTGGATTTATTCCAATCCAGGACTTTTAATGCTCCCTCGGGCCTACTCAAAGAAACAGAAAGTTAAAAATCCCTGAGCAGCTCACATAAGCCTGGGGTTCTCAGGAACAGGCATACCTAAGGTCGTATGGACCCCTCCCCCTCACACACGCTGATCCAAGGCCAGGAGGCCATCTGTCCAGCAGACGCTCCCCTGTCCTCCCTCGGGTCACATTGAGCCTCCCCCCCCCACACACACACACTCCCAGGTTGGCAGGAAGAGCCCCTGCAGAGAGATCATTTCCACCCTGATCAGCAGGCCTGATCCCCCCCTGAAGACCCCCAACTCTGGAGCAGGAATACCTGTCTGCTCCCGAAGAAACCTCCCCCAGGCTCAGAACTTGGGCGGCGGTGGGGGGAGGGACCGAGGGGCGCCCAAGAGGGTCGACCCCCGAAGTGTCCGCCCCAGGACGGCGCCAGCTCTCGGCGCGGCGGGGGACGGAAGGGCTGACAGGGCGCCCCGGCGGGGCGAAGCGGCACCGTTATCCGCGCCCGGGCGGGGGGCCGTGGGCTGTGGCCGAGGGCGGCCGCCTGCCCCGCGCGGGGAGGGCGGCGGCGGCGGGTCGCGGCGGCGGCGGCAGGGGCAGGCGGCCCGTCGGCCGGAGGCGGGGTGGGGTGGCGGCAGGGGCCCGCCAGGCGGCGGTCGGGGGAAG